GGGGATGTGGCCGAAATTCAATTCCTTTAAATAATAAAGAGCAAGCTGAGGAATCAGGCTAATTAGGCATTTTGCGTACAGGTGAAGTCAATTTCACTTTCACAATTTGGAAAAGGGCATTGTTACATCGAACACAACTTGATATTCAAGGTGCAGACCAACCATCTCGAGTGCCATGCCTACTTACTATTCGTATGCAAGCGTATCTCATATTCTTTACGTTTGGCTAATATTTCCTAACCTACAAGTAATGCTTATAATTAATCAGAATTTCGCATGTTTGGTAAGGAATTACTCTTTTAATATCCAAATGACCTTACTACCGCAATTTCATTTATTTTTAATCACATTATCCATGTTCAGAAATGCAGCTGAAATGCAAATGCTGCTATTTTCTACGCATTTAAGGAGAATTGGCGACACATGCAGAATCCGATCTCGGAATATTTGCTGTAAACGTTTTGCGGATCGGCATTGTCGGATATGACACTTATAGTTGGTACGAAAGAATTACGTGTTTAATCACCACTATTGATCAGACGCAAGATTGTGAGGAAAAGTTTGAAATGACGCAGTCGGTTTTTAAAATCGAATAGTACCCTCAGTGCTTTTAAGGAAGCGAAAAATCATAAAAGATGATGGGCCCTCTGATGTTTCAACAACTCGAGATCCCCATAGAAGTGCATCAGCTTCTATTAAGAAAGGTAAATAAGCATTTGAATATCATCCTATTTGTCTGCGTACAAATACTTAAATCGTTTTGTAAGCCGAGTCGGCGTTATTATGAGGAAGGCCTCCTGTTTATATACTGCATTACTATAAGAAACTTGCCAAAAGAAGTTTAGCAAGTTCCAAAATGACTATTATATTGGACTGCGCTAATTGAACGTGTAAAAGTTCAGGGCGCAAATTAAAACGGCGTTTGAATTTTACGTTATATCCATTTTGCGTACTTCCGCCCATAAATTACGAAAGCTCTTCATTATCTTAGAATTCTAAAACATATTCAGTCATGGCATCTACAATGGATGCGCTAATACTGCTGTTATTTGTGGTTAAGGTTTGAGTCCGATTAATTTGAGCACAGGGCATTGAGGCATCACCTATGTTGATAAGCTATGGCGACTCGCTTTGTACAGTATTTGTTGTCTCACGAAAGCCCATTGATTTCTTTCTTTTCGTGTTTATTTTTTGTGCAAAAGTATACCTTTCATAATGCACAATACTTGACAATACTTGTCATTCTTAAAAAATAATGTGCCTTTTTTAATATGCGTTTTTAGATGACTAAGGTGGAATCTTTTTTGCATCCTATGAATAATTATTGGTTGATGAATTTACCAGCCCACGAATGCTTTACTTTATTCACACTCCATTTTTAAACACATTTGTTTATGAAATTACACTCAAAATT